GCTGCGGGGTTCACACTGCCAGCAGGGCTCCTTCAGAGCTCTTGGGAGACAGGCCGTTTGAGTTAGTTAATTGTGCCAGCCTGGCCGATAATCACATGTGGTGCTGGTTGAAAGGCGAAGGGATAAATGGGTGGTGAAGCCTCGCCTTTCTAGTTCTCGGGTCTCTTGTTTTGTGATGGTTGCATCGGGTGCAGCTGCCTTAGCAGTTCCCTGCTTCAGCTTGCAAGATTGACTTCCTACAAGACATCCCCAAGGAGAAGCCACATGGATCTATCCCGATGCAGCCCTGGGTGCTGGAGCAGCCGTGTGGAGACCCTTGCCAGTGCTGAGATGCTTACACGTTCACGGACTCAGCTTTCCTCCTGCAGTCGGCATCATTGCCTCTGTTTTGTGAGGTGGAGGACTTTGTGGACTGGTGTTGGGTTAAAGGGTTAATGTTGCACTTGTGGGCTTGGGCAGCATTGGGTTGGGATGTTTTCGTGATGCACCTTTTCTTTACATAAAACTCTCTCTTATACGTGAGTCACCGTGGATTTGTTTCTCCAAAGTACCCAGACTAATACACCGTTCTTTCTCCGGGGAAGGGGCAGAGACTGGGGCTCTGGCCTTCTTTCAGGTGAACTGTGGCCAAGTGGCTGTGTGTCACCTCTGGGCAGGAGTTTGTTTTTTTTAAGATCACTTTAATGGGGACTCTTGCAACAATTCATACATCAATTATATCAAGCATATTTGTACATAGTGGCTATCATTATTTTCTAAACATTTACTTTCTCTTGAGCCCTTGATATCTGCTCCTCTTTTTTTCTTCTCCCTCTCCCCACACCCTCGTGAGCCCTTGATAAATGATCATTTTCATATCTTACACCGATGCTGTCTCCTTCCCCACAGCTTCTGTTGTTTGTCCCCCTGGTGGTGGTGGTGGTGGTGGGGGGGGTTGTATCTATTATTGCAACCAGTTTCTCCTTCTCCCCCTCCTCTCCCCACCTTCCCCCTACCCTCCTGGGATCGCTACTCCCATTCCTGTTCCTGGATTCCATGTGTCCTGAGCTCTTCTCTGTACCAGTGTACATGCCCTGGTCTAGCCCTACGTGAAAGGTAGGACTGGGGTCATGAGAGTGGGGGTTGAGGAAGCCTCAAGGAACCAGTGGAATATTGTGTTTCATTGGTGCTCTACTGCAATATACTGGCCAGGAGCTTTCAGAGCAAGAATGTCGTCGCCATATTCCCTCATCTTGTTCTGGAGATTCTCAAGGCATGTGCCCAGGTGACTACAGCGCATGGGGCTGCCTGCAACCTTCACAGGGTTGGCAGCACAGGCTGCGATGTCACCTGTGGGCAGCCTGAGACCTTGGCATCACTTGTTCCTGCAGCCTAACCTGGTCCATCCTGACAGATACAGGAAGGATGGGAGTGCACCTTCTCATCCTCTCCCCAAGTTCTGTGCTCCACTTTTCTCCGGATGGTCTTCGACCCTTCCATTGCAGGAGGCAGAAAGGAAGATGGGGCCCAGAGGCTCCAGAGGAGTGGGGTCTTCTCTGCTGATGGCAGCAGCAACAGCCCTAGGGAAAGACTCAACCGGCTCACGTTGAGTGCTGGCCTCATCCCTTGGGGCCCTTGGGGAGTGGTACGAACGTTGCCATGGTCAGCCGATAAGAGGTTGGCAGTTGGAGTCCGCCCAGATGCATCTTGAGAGAAAGATCTGGAAATCTACCTCTAAAAAAGATCAGCCATTGAGAGCTCTGCGGAGTTCTGTTCTGACACGTGGGATGCCGTGAGGCAGCGCGTTGTACCTCCCCCTCAACAATCCCCGTGGATGCCAGGGCTGGACCAGGGCTGTTTTAGTCCCGGTTGACTAGAGAAACTAGTCCACATACTCGTACGTGTGGAATAAAGAACTTTATGTCAAAGTGTCATTGTATATTAAGGAAACATCTCAGCCCAGTCCAGATTAAGTTGATAAATCCGATACCAGTCTATAATTTCCTCTTCAGACTCATGTAACACATGAAATGCTGCCAAATACAGGAAGATCACAGGCCAGTGGGTGGAAAGTCTTGTGGATCCAGTGGTGGTGGAAGCATCTCAGCACTGGCGTGGGTCTCCACGTGGCTCCTCCAGCTCCAGGGCTCTGGCTCCATCAGTGTAACTCCACCTGGTTTGTTATCAGGAATGTCTGGCAGGGAGTATGTGTCTCCCACCTCCAGGGAGGAAGACTGGAGTTCCCTGACTCCTCAGGAGAAGGCTATGCCCACACAGAGGCCTCATTGGCTATAGCTTGATTGACAGGCTGGACTCCACCCCTTCGCAAGTTGACAGGAGATTATGTAACTGCCACGAGGGCTGCTGTGCTCTGCCCTGTGGCTGGCTGCAAGGAAGTGTGTTGGACAGTCGGGGATAAGTCACTGCACAGGGTCTAGTACCATGGCTGCAGCTGCCCTGGTTGGCATAGAACTGCTTTGCTGCGCACACCAAAATACGATTAGGAAACTGGAGAAGAGCTTCCTTTGGGATCAGCAGGTAGAAGCCATGGGGGTCTTTTGAGAGACCGATTAGAAAAATAGCAGCTACAAACAATTCGTCTTCTCTCTCTCTCCGTTTTTTTTTTTTTTTTCAATTATTGTATTGGGGGCTCTTACAACAATCCATGCATACATCCATTGTGTCAAGCACAATTGTACATATGCTTCCCTCATCATTCTCAAAACATTTTCTTTCTACTTGAGTCCTTGGTATCAGTTCATTCCCCCCCTCCCCCATCCTCCCTCGCTCATGAACCCTTGATAATTTAAAAATTATATTTTCATGTCTTACACTGATCGCTGTCTCCCTTCACCCCCTTTTCTGTTGTTTGTCCCCCTGGGAGGGGAAAGGGTTATATGTCAATCATTGTGATCGCTTCCCCCTTTCTCTCCCCACCTTCCCCTCCCCTCCTTGTATCACTACTCTCATTATTGGTCCTGAGGGGGTTATCTGTCCAGGATTCCTCGTGTTTCCAGCTCTTTTCTGTACCCGTGTACATGCTCTGGCCTAGCTAGATTTGTAGGCTAGAACTGAGGTCATGATAGTGGGGTGGAGGTGGGGGGGAGGAAGCATTAAAGAACTAGAGGAAAGTTGTGTGTTCCATCGGTGCTATACTGCCCCCTGACTGGCTCATCTCTTCCTTGTGACCCCTCTGTAAGGGGATGTCCAATTGTCTACAGTTGGGCATTGGGTCTCCTCCGCCGCCGTCTTCTCTTAAAATGGAAAAAAAAATCTACTTGAGCAAGTGAGGTGAAAGGCAGCCAACTTTGACTGATGGCGTGTCAAGGTTCACTGTATGTTAAGCACCCAGGTGGCCCCTCTATCGGGGTGCGAGGCCAGGCTCCCTGCTTCAGGTGGGTTTCTCGTGGGTGCCCACGGGAGGCCACAGGAACAGCTAGCTGTGTGGAGGTCTCTGTCTGTGGCAGTAGAGTTCAGACGAGCGCTTCTCTCCCTGGCAGTAATGGGCGGTCTCCTGGGGGACAGGAAGTCTTGCTGCCATCCGCAAAAAACGAACGTTCATTTCCTGCAGAAAGAACTACGGCCGCTCTCCTCAGATTCTCTCTGCGCCTGACCCCACAGGGATACGAGCCGCCGTGCTTTAAAGACGGCAGCTCGGCTTTCAGGAGACGGAGGCACAGCGGAGTCGGAAATGTTCTTAGACTGTGGGTGGGCACAGGCCAGAGATCGCACCTCTCCCTCGGGCTCAGCCTTTTCCAAATGGCTGGGATCTCGCTGCAGGTCCTTCACAGACTCCTGTGGCGGAGGGAAAGCCAGCGGAATGGGGCCCAAGCACTAAGGAGGCCGGTCCCAGCAGGCGGCTTCCCATCAAGGAGCCGCTGCCTCGCCCTTAAAGGGAGCGGCAGAGAGCTCCCTCTCACCCCCGCCCCGCATCACAGAGGAGACAGCGTGTGCAGGCTGCTTTCCAGTTTCCTGCCTACTCATAATCGAAGCCAGCGTCACGGAGCCCTTTGTAAGATTTTGCCCTAAGAATGCTAAGTGCTTAGGTCCATGACATCACGGAATCTTAACAAATGCCACAGAAAGCAGGTCCTATTATTATTATCTCCTCCCCTCTCCATTTCAGTCTTCAGAGGGGCACCCTGAGGCTTCCAGGGACAACCCCTGACCAGTTGTAGAACTGGCACCAACCCTGGCTGCTGGGCGCACACCCACGCTCTTCCCTGGCTCGAGCTCCTTCGCACATGCCCATCAGCAGAGACACTGCCCCATGGCACAGAGAGCGGCTGCAGATAGGTTACCAGCGATGAACCAGGTGA